ACTGCATCTTTCCGACGTGTGTCGCATGAAGTCGCTTCCGACGACGCACGAGTTTCCCACGGTTTGGCGTTGTGCACGCCATGCTGTCAACGAAGCCATTGTCCGACGGGCGGCGCGGAACCAGACGCTGAACACATGGCGGGCCGGCCACGGCAGCTGTCGGCGGGAGGTGGAACTTGACTGGAGCCAGGCCCCTCCAACACGTGTAGGGGAGAAGGTGCCACAGTCACTGGTCCCCCCCCCCCACCCCGCCTCCACCACACCCCCACCACCACCACTACCCGATGCGTGCGCCGGTCCCCACCGAGCCGCTAAGCTCCCTTTCCCTCCCCCGCTGCCTCAACTACGTCCGTGCCAGCACCGAACGGCTTACAAAAGCCTAACACACACCTCGACTTATACCAATGTCGGCCACCTGCTCGGGCGGCGGCGCCGCTAACGACTCGCGCGGCCGGCTGTCGCGCGCCGGCACGCGAGTCGTCCCGGCCGCTGCGGCGCCGCCGCCGTCGTGCCTGACACGGCCGGGTCACCGGACGCTCACGAGGCGCTGTCGCCCTAGACCGGCGCGTAACGAGCCCGAATTACGCTGATGGCGGCGGCGGAGGCGGCGGAGGCGGTGGCGGCGGTGGCGCGGCGGACGCTGTGCGTGCCGGCCGTGCGTGCCGGCGGCCCGTTTGTGGCGAAGCTCTGCGATGAGCCGGGCGAGAGAGCGTCTACCGGGGTCGCGGCGGCTCGGAGTCGTCCCGGCGCCGGCCGCGGCAGCTGTCTGCGTGTCGGTCAGCGCCGACGGAGGGGGCGCGGCGCTGGCCGCTGCGCTGCCCTGCACCGCGGGCGCCGGCAGGGAGCTCAACGCCGCGGCGTCCAGACTCGCCCCCGAATCGCGCGCCCGAAATGCAAGTTCACAAAGCGGGCTTGAACCGAGGACGCACCGCGCCAGCTCAGACCGCCAGTGCTCCAAGCCGCGCGCCCAAAGCGCGGCCTTCATTCGCGTTCCCAAACCGCACGTTGAAGACGCCAGCCAACGCCGGTCTGGGAGCGCGCGCCGCGATCAAACGGCGCGACCTCGCCAGCCGGCTCAGGTCGCCCGGCAAACAGCGCCGCCCATTTGCACACGTGTTTTCCTTTGTGGCAACATCAAACAGGCCGTGTGAGCGGCGGCCGTGCGGCGGGGATCGGTGTCGGCGCGGCTCGCCACACGGCGACGTCTGCCGCCCGCCCGCGCCGCCGATGGGCCATCGCTCAGCGCCGGTGAGAACGGCGCGCGCCGCGGCCAGATGGACGTCTGCACGGCCTACCGGTGAGGGCCGCTCTCTCACCGGCCGGCGCCCAGTGCCGGACGCGCCGCCGCGCTGTCGCATCAACATGCAGCGCGCGACGCCCGGCCGGAGCACACTGACTCGTCCCAGCACCGGCTGATTTCTATTACTGGGCAGCGCGTCCATGCGCGCTTTTAGCTCGCGTGCGGACGTCATCTGGACGACAGATCAGATTAGAATCGGATGGTATTCCGTGAGCGTGCTCCCTGACCGTCCAGTGCGGGGCGCCGTCGCTTGCGGCGAGGAGGGAGCGGAGGAGGGCCGGTCGGCCGCATCGCTCCCAAGAATGTGAAATACTGCACGGAATGGCTGCCCCGATGCAGTCTTGCTGGTATGCCGTGACCGTGTGATGAGAGCAAACGGGCTCATGTGGAATTTCCACCGGGGGAGATATCAACGAAACGGTTCGCACTAATGCACTGCCGTCAATTACCCCGCAGATGAGGCCTTACTTACCGACGCTGGCCAATTATCGCATGCCAGCGTTCGATCCGTCCGCGGTGCCCCCGCGCCGCGGACGGCGGCCATTTCCGGCGGTGCCCGGCTGCGTGCCCGCCGGCGACCCGCCCCGACCTGCGGCGGCACGCAGCCTACCTCTGCCATCGGCAACAGGTCCGGTCGCGACCGCAGCGTCTACTGCAGCACCGCCGCCGCTGTCGCCGCCGCCGTCGCCGCCACCGCCGCCGCCGCACGGCAGCAGCCGGGTAATTAATGCGCTATCAGATGGCCGCCGAGACGTGACGGCGGCGGCGCGGCCGACACTTACTGTCAGGGCGCGGCGGGCAGGCCGTCGCTCGCCGAAAAACGGCGATAAACGTCGGCTACCTGCCCGCCGATCGGCGCCGATCGCGCGCCACGAGAGGACGCCACCGGCTGATTGCAGCTGCCATGGAGGACGGACGGGGGGCGACAGAGGAGCGGAGCCGCAGCCGGACAGGCGGCCGGTGACGGCGGGGAGCGAGAGGCGGCGGCGGGTAGCGAGAGGCGGCGGCGGGTAGCGAGAGACGCCGGCGGGGAGCGAGAGGCGACGGCGGGGAGCGAGAGACGCCGGCGGGGAGCGAGAGGCGACGGCGGGTGGCGAGTGGCGGCGGCGGGAGCGAGAGGCGACGGCGCAAGCCGAGGCTCGGATGAACGCCCGGCGGCCCGGCGGCCGCGGGCGGGCGGGCGGGCAGCGCGGCAGCAGGCAGTGGCAGATGCTGCCGGGACGCTCGGCGGCGGCGGACGCTGCGGTCGGCACCGGCCATGGCTCCGTTTTTGCTGACGTTAAGTGGCGCGGCCGGCCGAGCCACTCAATTGCAGGCCCGGGCGACCGCAGCCGGCGCTGACCCAGATACACGGGCGGCCCGTGTCGCCGGCCGCTAATGGCTTCTTAATCGCGCCACTCACCGGCGGCGGCCGGACGGAGCCGGTCAGGGCTGACTGACGCGGTGCCGCGCCGGCGCCGGGCCGACGCATCGGGGACCGGACCACGCGGCCAGCGGGATGTCCCGCGCGGTGTCGGCCCAGTCGGGTGGCGCACCGTCCACAAATAAACGGGGCCCGTCCATGGAGGGGGAGCGGGCGCGAACGGCGCCCGACGAGGCGTGTCGTCGACAGCGGCCGGCTGCTGCGCCAGCCCAGCCGTCCGGCTGGTGAATACCTCGCTGACAGCCGGCCCTACCTGCCGAGGGCCTAACGAGCGCGGCAATCCCGAGGTTTTCAGGAGATGGCGGGTGCCGAGGGCGCTGCTCGGGGCATAGGGCAGCCGCTGTCGCCGCTTTCTCCGGCGCGTCGCCTCGCGGCACGGCGCGGCCGGGTCACGGGGGAGCGTTGCCGCGGTCGCCGGCGCGCCCCAGGCGGAGCCGCGCGCGGCTGCAGACCCGCGCTCCGGCTGCAGCTCGAACGGCGTCCCATCACGACCGCCGCTAGAAATGGGGGGATTAAATCCGACAGCAGGAGATGAGTTGCGACAATGGCCCCACTAAGGGCGGCGCCGCTCCGCCTAACGCCGACCAACACACGCCAACGCCGCGCAGAGAGAAACCGCGGAGGCCACGGCGGCCCGGTAAAAACCGCCTTCTCAACCGGCCGCCGCCCGCTCAACGCCAGACGCGTGCGCAGGGGGAGGCAGAGGGGACGATAGGGGGAGGCGGAGGGGACGATGTGTGACGTCACGGCGGGTCCCTGCCGTGTGTCAGCGATCTACGGACCGCATCCAGACTGCACACCCTGTTCTGGAGAGTTTCGATGCGCCCTCCTTCCCACACGCCCGAGACGCTCGCGGCGCGCCCGCTGAGCACTGATGGATATCATTAAGAGTCCAATTAAACGGCGGGCGGGCGACGGCAGGCAAACGGCTGCCGATACCGGGCGGCGATTAGCAGCCGGTAAACAAAGCGGCGGCGGCAGCGGCGCGGCCTCGACGGCCGACGCTCCGATCCGTCAGCGAGGAGGCCGCCGGCCAGCGCGCCGTTTTTCTGGCGGGAGCGTGCGTGCGGCCGCCGCGCGCCGTGCCGCGGTCGGACAATGCCGCCGCCGGACGCCCCCGTCGGTAGCCGGCGCCACTTTGGCCGTCCAGGGACGGTCGGGACGTGCCGCCGCCACGACCGCGGCCCGCCGACGGCCCGTTTTTGCCCATGCCCCAGATGGGGCTTTTATTGCCACTCCAGTGACATTTCTGCTAAATTTGGCGCGCCCTATTGCGCCACCCGGCTGCCCTCCCCGCTCCTCAGTGGCGGAGCCGCCAGCAAAAACGACGGATGCGGTGGGGGACTCACACCCGCCACATAACGCCCCAGTGAAACACGCAAAAAAACAGCAACAGCCACTCGGTTATGTCCCCGGGCGCTCTTAGTCGGCATCGCTGCGCCCTTCTTCGGCGCCGGGTGAGCCAGCCAGCGACGCCGAGCGAGCGTGCACACGGCGCCGGTGTGCGGACCGGTATCATTCGCAATCAGCCCCATTCCATCATCATTCATCCATCCCCCGTCGGCGCCGCTGGCCGGCACGCAACTCGGCCGGCAGACAGTAATGGCGCTAAGGCCACACGCAGGCGAGGTGGCGTCCGGTCGTGGCCGGCTCGGCCTCGGGCTGGGAGCGGACCGGCCGTCAGCCCGCGATCCGGCCGGGGTCCCAGGGCCACAGGTCGCTGCCAAGGGCGCTAGCATTGGACGGTCCCGGCCGGCGAGCACTGTGACGTTCACCGGGTGCCGGCTGCCAGCCACTCCGGTCCGCACAAGCAGGGCCTTCGGTTCGACTCAGTCATCTTCGCAGTAAGCCGCACTGAACGGGTGCTCATCTTCAGACGACACAGCGCCGCGAGTCAGAGTCCACACTCGAAAGCGTAGCGTCCCGGTAAACAGTGAAATCACCCCAATCTGCGACGCAAAACCGACGCAACTCAGGCGAGCATTTCACACGGGCGGCTGCACCAGCTACTGAGGCATCTTCCCGCCAAAGAGGCCTACTCCAGGGCAGCAGGGGCCCGGCCCAGTCCGACTCGCGGTCGCCGCCGGCGCGCGGCACGGGCCACGGTCACGGCTCGGCGCGAACGTCAAGATAAAAGCCAGACCGTTCATTAACCTATTAGCTGGACAGGCCGAAACTGGGTCCGCGCGCCGCCATTTGCATGCTGCGGCAGCCGGCCAAATGGCCCAGGGGGGGGGGGGGGGTCCCGATCCGGTCCGGTCCGGTCCGGTCGCTTACCTTCCTCGGCGCGAGCGCCCGGCCAGGCCAGCAGGGCCAGCAGGACCGCCGACGTGAGCACCAGCGCCATCTTGGTCAGTGCAGGTCACCACACATAGTCACCTGCGGCACAGAGCGGGGTCGGTCAGCACGCGTCACAACACGAGGTCACCTGCCGCTGCCATCGGATTGCGTAGGTCACGCATGGCAGGTAGGGGATGGAGAGTGGAGCGTTAGAGGCGAACAATGCGCGCGGTGTCGCAATAGTGTGCAAGTGTGGAAACAATAAATCACACCCGAAAACGCATCTCATCACACACCAGAAGCTTAGCGTGGAATTCCCCGGCGAGTTCCCCACGTGCCTGGCGTAGGCCACGACAGGCGGCGGCCTGGCCGGCCGCAGCAGCGCCTGCAGACCGGGCGGCCAGGTGGCGGCCGGTGGGCGCACGCAAGCCCGCCTTTGGAGCGGGCGGGCCGCCGCGCCGGCCGCGCCGCGCCACGCATCGGCAGACGGCGCGACGGCGGCCGCAGCACCTGCGTCCGCCGCGCCGGCCCGTCGCCGCGGCATTTTTCGCCGAACTGGCAACAGATTTTCCTAGGCTGAGTCAGGCGCGGCGCCCGGCGCGTCGAGTCACGCGGGCCTGCGCCTGCCGCGAGCGCTCAGGCGCGGCACCAGCGCGCGCCGCCCACTGTGCACCTGTTTGTGTTCGGCGCCCGTGTGTTGTCGCAGCGCCGGGCGACAATCGCAGTGCGCCTGGCCGAGACGCGCCAGTCGGCCGGCCCCGACGGCCGCCGGCGCCGCTGTTGTGATAGATACCGGGTTTTGGTAAATACATAAACAGCACACAAATGGCCGTAATGGATCCCGGGTCGGGGTGACAGGCGGCCGAGCAAAAAGGCAGAGGGTGGCGTCGCGGTGGGAACGGAGTGCGGCGGCGCGCGGCTCGAGACGTCTGAGGACAGGCGGCGAGCCGGGACGCCAAGAGGCGACTCGAGGCGGCACGAGACCGGTCGGCATGCATGGTGACCTCACAAACGAAAGCGATCCAAAGCCGGCAGCAAGAAGAAGTGCATCCGCGTGACGTGTCGTGTGAGATACCATCGGATCAGCAGATGGTCACGGTCCAGAGTCGCGCCCCGTACAAAAATGGCCTCTGTCGTGCTGCGCTCGGCCGTCGCGGAGGCGTCCTGCAGCTGCGCGGCGCCGCGACTGCAGTCCACCTTCGCGCGCTCCGGCGGCGTGCGCTGCCCCGGCGCCCGGCAGCCGTCCGCACCGCTGCCCACACAGACGGCGGCCCGCGCCCAGACCCGCCGCCGCCGGCCGGCCGCTGAGACCCGCCGCCTGCGCAAACGTCGCCGGCAAACAGCGACGCTCCGACCGCTGATCCGTCACGAGCGTAAAACAGGCCGCGGCGCAGCGCGACACGGCGCGGCGCGGCGCGGCGCGGTGCGACGCCCCCGATGCAGCACGCTCGCCGCGACCACCCACTCCCGCCGGCGACGACGCGACGTTTATTTATTTTCCGACGGCGTGAGGCCGTCGCGGGGCGTCGCAAACGATGTTTGCGCGCCTAAAAAGCTTTCAGTCAACTGCGAAAAGTGGTGAATTAGTGTCCTATTGTGCCGGTCTGGGTGGCACGCGCTCGGGGCGGTCGCCGGCATAAAATGCATCGCCTTACGTCAATACACCATTCGGAGTCCAGGTTTCGGAAGAACATCGATCGCGTCATTAGGTGTAATTGTTTTCGCCAGAACGGCGGCCATTCCCGGCCGCCGAGGGCTCATCAGGCGTATTGTTGGGGCTAATTATCGCCGGTGTATTTGGTCGGTGATACCGTGCCAGCAGTCAATCCTTCCCCGGGCCGGGCTGCGACGCCGCCGCGCCGGCAGCCGTCGCTGCCGTCGCCGCCGCGCGTCGGCCGCCTCAGAGATTAATCGTGCTGCAGGCACGCCCGGCATTCGGGTCGGGCCGGACGGGCGACGCTGCGCCGCGGCCGGCTCAGGACCAGGTGGCCATCTCGCGCGCAGGGGTGCCCCCGCATTCCACGCGCCGGGCGCACGTAAATCGCGCGGCCGCGACATGAAAAGCCGGCGGACGCGGACGCGGCGGAGGACGGGGCGGCGGCGGCGGCGGCGGCGGCGCGGCCCTAGCCACGCTCGCGGTAAACAGTGCGGCCAGGTAAGCGGGTCGCGACGCCCGCCGACCGCCCGCCAGATAACCGGGCCGCTCAATGGCGGCGCTGGCGGACAAACAACAGCGCCGGGCGGCGGGGAGGCGGCCGGGCCGCCGGCCGCCTCCCCGCCGCTGCCGGGACGGAGCGCTCGCACCGGGCGAGCCTGCTGAAGCGCCTCTGTGCCTCTGCACGCGTAGGATCGGCCCGCCGCCACGGCCGCGTCCAACAGTGAGCTGCTGTCCCCTCAGACGGGCTCGGTCGGCCGCCGGCGGGCCCGCTCCGTAGTCGACGGCGGCAGCGCCGTCTGACGCGTGACTGACGCGGGACGGCGCGGCGCTGACAGGTCCTGGCTGACAGCCGCCGGAATGTCGTCGCGACGCGTCCCCCTGTCAGCGGCCGACGAGACGCTCGCCGCGGCGGCCCGGCCACCACGCCGGAGCCTCCCTGTATCCCTGCGCCGGAGCGATGCTGCCTCCGCTCGGGGCGCCTCGGCGTCATCAGACACGGCGCCGGCGGCCACCGCCGCCCCGCACCTGCCTCTCCGCCGCCGGCCGTCAGCTGTCGTCAGCGCCAGTCTCTCTGTCATCGGCGCCGGCTGCAGTGACGTCATGCACCCGCGGGCGCTGCCGGCGGCGGCCGGTCGCGGCGCGAGGTGGGGTCGCCTTGAGCGCCGTGCCGGCGATTCGCGGCCGTTCCTCGCCGTCGCCGCCGCCGGCGACCGGGCGGGCGCGACTCGTCGCTTCACGCGCGGCTGGAGCGAGGAGGGACAATTTCCGGCGGACGGACGATGGGCGAGGCCGTGGCCACCGGCGTCGCCCGTCTGGCCAGCGCGCCGCGCGGATGGCGATGCGGCGCCGACCGACTCACCAGCGGACGCCTTCGAGTTGGAGCACGTTCCCCGGCGGGACAAGGTAACACGAAGCCGGTCGGGCCGCCGCCGCGCGGACAAAGTGAGCCGAGGTGTTGCCGAGGTGCTTTGTCCGCCGGCTGTTTAGCGCAAATGGGCCGATAATCGCCGCCGCTGTATACTCCCCCTTCTCGCTTCACGCTCCTCCTTTCTCCCCTGTGTAGCGCGCTGGGCTGTTTCCGCCGCCAGCCGGCCTGCCAAACCGCCGACCGTCCGGTCCGTAGAGGGCATACAGCCGCCACATCCCAGGTGAATATCGACCGTATCGCCGAACTAATGCTCGGCCGGACAGGACGGGTGATTTCGGCTGGCGATCAGATGAGATATCGTCCTTATGACGTCGACAAAGGCCCAAGAAGGTTTGGCTCTGCCATTTTAAAGCACCCGGCGATAAAGCATCGATGGACGCGACCGTGAGGGAGCAGGTAACCTTAGCCGGAGATGGGGTCCGATACGCGGCGTCAAATCAGCACCCAACGCTGGAGGCAGACGGGACCCGGGCCGGTACGCAAGGTGACAGGGCCGCTGCCAACTTCGCCGCCGCCGCCCAACTTCCCTCCTTAATCGCTGCGCGCGACAGTCGGCCAAACTTTCGCAGCGCGAGATGCAGATGCTCCCGACGCGGCGCGGTCAACAACGCCTTAAACTCGCGCCGACACCAGCGACGCCACCGTCACGCGCGCCTTAAACTCGCGCCGACACCAGCGACGCCACCGCCGCCGGAGGCGCGTTCGGACCGACCGCCCGACCACCGCGCGCGGGGCGGCGCACCGCGGCGCCCCTGCACGTGCACGGTCGTGACGGCCGCGGCGCCCGCGGCCCGCACCGTGACGGCCAGACAGCCGCCTCCAATTACCGCCCCGCGCGCCGGCACCGTAATGCTAATGTAGTGCCTGCACCGCGCCGCATGCAGACTCCACACACGCCGCGCTCCGTCCACGACCTTCACCCTGCAAATCAGTGACCTGTTATTAATTGCACCCGCTCGGGCGCGTCTCAATCAACAGGGCTCGCTCGGGCGCCCGTCACCAGCCAGCAGGGATTGATGGGAAAACGGCACGGCCGGATGTGCTCTCGGCAGCGCTGGGTTTACTTGTTTGCCACTCGCAGACAGCCCTGCGCAATACGTGCATCTTTTCGCGGAAGCACACTCGCGAAAACTGAACCAGAACTCTTCAGACAAGAGCGTTAATAAAGCTTCTTCAAGTTTGCCTTAGTTTACATTGAACCTCAACTGAAACTTCAAGTGCTTGCCATCTCTCTCCAGCGCCGACCAAAAATCATATTCAAGCACAAAGTTCGCCACATGAGGGCTTTGGTAGCTGCGCCTTCACCCAGTAATTCACAAACACAGCAGCGAGCTAGCAGGCGGGTTCAAACACCGCCCATGTCAATGCTGACATGGCAGGTGCGCTGACCAGCATCGACATGGAGTTGCTCGCCGTTACTGGCGGGTATTTATCGTCTGAGAACAGGAATGGCCAGGCCAGACCATTCCTGTTCTCGGACGATAACTCAGACGATCCGACGATAACACAGGCCGGTGTAACGAAAACCATCTGAAGACAGATGTATTTTCGTCCCGATCGTCGGATCGGTTCGGCCCGGCTCGTCTCCTCCGCACCGCTGCTCGTGCAGCGGCGCTGATCTCCGGCGCGCCCGCGACCGACAGCACACCTCCGCTGGCGGCATGCTGCAGATAAAAGCCCGAGCATCTCACCCGAACGGCAAATGCGAAGCCCGTGGCCGCCTCGGCGCTGCGCGACAAAGGGCTGCCGATCGAGGTGTCATTAATTAGTGAGTTGGCTTCCGGCTCAGTCAGCTGAAGGGTGCCAATGAACGGAAATGTCTGAACGGGGACGGAGAGGTCGGCCGACCGGGAAGCGCACACGAACGAACGGAGATCGAGGCAGAACAGCGGACACTGCACGTGAAGATCGACGAATAAGAGCAGCGGGCACACAACAGGACCTGCGAAGCCGAGTAGAGACAAGCACACGGCCGAAAGGGCAGCACAGGCCCCTCGAACTTCGACTGTGTAC